CAAAGACAGTACTGGCTGTGAACCATCAGAGTAACTCATCAGATATTTGTCTCCTTGCTTTTGCCCTTGCATTCTGAGATGTGTGCTTCTGCTATGACCTGTGCTTTAGCAACTTATTAACCTGGAAGGCTGGGTTTCGCAGCAAGAGACGAAGAGTCCCCACTCCACTGTGGCTCAGCCTTCCTGAGTGTTGAATACAGAAAGATGCGCATAGGTGATCCTTGACTAAGACTTGAAATACGTCTTTGGAAAATGTAGCCTTGTGTGAGCCTTTTATCATAGAATTGAAATGGCTCATGTTCTAAATCTCTTCTTTCTCCAAATCCATGCCTGATGGTGTAGGAGGCGGTGACCTTCGAGGATGTGGCTGTGAACTTCTACAGGGAGGAGTGGGCCTTGCTGGATCCGTCCCAGAAGAAGCTGTACAGAGACGTGATGTGGGAGACCTTTAGGAACCTGGCTGCCGTAGGTGAGGAGGATAGCGTGGTCAGTTGTGCACTCAGAGTATCGGATCCTGCTCTTCAGCAGAATTTCATTAATGAAAAGATTATGAAGTACCTTCTAGAGGTGGTGCCATTTAACAGTGACTCAAACTGGAGTCCACAGATTGTCATATGTATATATGAGTTCTCACGATTTGTCTGTGCCCTTTAGGGAGGAGCTCGGATGACCAGCACCTTGACGATAAGGACAGGAAATGCGGGAAGCAGCTCAGGTAATGTGTCCTCAGGGAGGAAACTTCCTCTCAGCCACAGTGTTAACCCAAGAAAAGTGCACGAGAAAGAGCGGTGCAAACTTCTTTAACCCTACAGTATTTCTCACTAGACTTATTTACATTGACTGGCGCTAGTCTGACAACTGAATATTTGAAACAATTCTGTATTTCAAATGTAGGTGTTACTCATATCATGCAAAACCTAAGATCACTGAAGTAATGCAAAAGAACTTTACTGCAAGTTGGGTGAGTTTGTGCCTGTCTGTAATCTCAGCACTCTGGAGGGGGAGGCAGGAAGTTCGCCACGAGTTCCAGGGCAAGCTGGGCCACATAGTAAGTGCAAGGCCAGCATCAACTGCAGAGCGAGTCCATGTCTGAAACTCCAAAATGGGCGCACGTTTTGTTCCATGTTCAGCCGTGTAGATATGTTTGATGGCATTGCTTCTAGGAATTGCATACAGGAGGATATAGCCCAGATTTTATGCATATACTCAGAGCTAACTCATCATATATGCATGTTTTTAAAAGAGAAATTTCCAGGCCGATGAGATGGCTCAGTGGAATAAGCGCTTCCCTGGCAAATGCAAGGGCCTGAGTTCAATCCCCTGTTCCACCAAAAAAAAAGATCCCAGTTCTGCCAAAAAAAAAAATTTCCTATCACACAAATGTGTGCTACTGTTTGCAGTTCAATGTGATGTACATATGCAGTGTTGAAAAGCTGCTCACATCGTGCCTGTTTTCAGCATCCAAACAAGTATCACTGTTCTCATCCCACTTATTGACCGCAGCTCTGGTGTTTATTTTTGGGCTAGTGGGGATCACACTCAGGACTTGCACTTGCCAGACTGGGCCACACGCTGCTCAGCCGTCTCCCAGCCGTCGTCTTTTATTTTCCAGACAGGATCTCACTATGTAGCCCTGCAAGATACCTGGTTTTTTTTGTATTTTAGTGCAGGGCCTATGGGGACTGGACGGTCACACTACACAGATCAGAGTTATAGTGATTCTCCTGCTTTCAGCTTCCCAAGCTCTGGGCTTGCGGGCGTGCGCCGCCTTGCCCAGGCTCAGTTGCCATCTCGGTGCACCCTGGGGGTGAGGTGCAACAGCTGGCCCGGTGTCAAACCCCAAGCCCTGCGTCTGCCTGAGCAGGGGTTTTAATCGGCTGAGCTATCTGGCTGGCCCTTTCCTGGCAGTGATCTGCCTCCCAGTGGTCCTGCTACCTGAGGCTCCCAGAACGTCACCCGTCCCCCACACCTCCAGCCATATGTGGCTGCGCTTTAGGGCACATGTTCCCCGGATGTTAAAGTAATCCCATTACACTGATGCTTAAATCAGCATTGATAGCTGTGAGCTCAGATAAGCCCGGCTCTGGGAAAAGCCTAAATGCCGCTTCAGATGTGAGCTGACTAAGAAACGTGGCACATCCTGGGCCTAAAGGGCCTGCGTGGAACCCTGCAGTGTGGGAGGCTGCAGCAGGAAGGTCCTGCACTCACGCTGGGCCGGCCTGGGCCAATGAATGATTGATGAAGCTGCTTGAAAATAAAAGTGAGACTGCACATGAGTGAATCTCAATGCTGAAACCCTGGGGTCAGTTTACAGTCAAAAATATGTAGTGCACATCATGCAGTATCGTTCATCCTTAAAGAATGAAGGCCAGGCATTCAGCAACGTCCGCATGGATCCAGAGCCCATAACTTCAGGTGAGATAAAGGAAGAGAGATTTCAGTATGACAGGGTTTACTTTGCATGAGCATCCTGCTACAGGAATTAAGGAGTAAAGAGAAGAGAAATGGTGGACATAGACGCAGATACTTTGGCATGGGAGAAGAGGCCCAGTGGAAGGGGAGGGATGGAGTCACGCAGGAAAAAGTCTCAGAAACACATGAGCGTATGGAGCATGTTTCGCCAACATGTGTTCCCCTTGCTCAGTAAGAAGGAGTGTTGTGTATCGCCACTGCGTGGATTACAGACTCCTTAATGCATCCTTGTATTTGGGTAAAAGCTTTTTAGTGTGTTCAACCCACCGAGCCAGACCTCCTCCTGGAGAATCACTACCGAAAGCCACCATGAAATGTGATTGGTGCTTTTCATTTTCTCCCCTTGCAGAAGTGAAGAGGCAGAGCAGTCCTGTGAGTATGAATTATGGTGTCAACGTGGAGAAATGGGGTCTCAGCCTCCTGACACAAATGCACACGTGACAGGTGTTGGCATAAACCGAGCTGAAAGCCTTTGTTCTAGAAGGATCCTGGCTGGTCATTTGTCCGCACTTGGGCCCATGATGGCCGACACTGCACTCAGACCATCTGAGCAGGAGAGGTTTCAAGAGAAGCTCTCTCCCTGTAAGAAAGCTGGCAAAGCCTGCGCCGACCTGCAGTCCTTTCAGGAACATTCAAACGTGGGTTCTGAGGAACAGCCCCACGAGTTTATGCCATGTGCAGACTTGTACTCTGATTACACTGCAGAAAGTACCACTGCAGAGCAGCAGGCTGTCGATGCATTCAGTAAAACCAGTGATGCTGAGGTCTGGGGACGGTGTCACCGTGAAGTACATACAGACTCATGTGTGCCATACGGAACAAGTTTTAATTCTCCTTTCCATATTCCAGCACATGAAAAAGCTCAAGTTAGAGAAAAAACTCCTGTGTATGAACACAATGAAAAATCCCTCACTGTTAATTCATTGGGTGATCTCAAAAGAATTCACATTGAGGAGAAACTCTCTGTATGTAAGCAGTGTGGGAAGGCTTTCAGAACAAACAGCATATATGAAGCTCATGAAAGCACTTGCCTTGGGGAGAAACCCTATGTATGCAAACAACTTGGGAAAGATTTCAGCAGACATGGTATGTGTCAAAGGCATGAAGTGACTGACAACAGGGAAAAACCATACGCATGCACGCAATGTGGCAAAGCTTTCAGCAGAAAAGACAGTTGGCGAATTCATGAACGAACTCACACTGGGGAGAAACCCTACGCATGCAGGCAGTGCGGCAAAGCTTTCAGAGTACATCGTAGTTATCAAATTCATGAAAAGGCACACAGTGGGCAGAAACCCTATGTGTGTAAGCAGTGTGGGAAAGCGTTCATAACACATTACGGTTGTCAAAGACATGAAAGAATTCATACTGGCAAGAAGCCCTATGCATGTAAGCTGTGTGGCAAAGCTTTTATCACACCTGGCAATTGTCAAAGGCATGAACGGACTCACACAGGGGAGAAACCCTATGCATGTAAGCAGTGCGGCAAAGCTTTCCGTGTGTATCGTACTTGTCAGATTCATGAACAGGCACACACTGGGGAGAAACCCTACGCATGTAAGCAGTGTGGGAAAACTTTCACAACACGAGGTAACTGTCAGATACACGAAAGAATTCATACTGGGGAGAAACCCTATGCATGTAGGCACTGTGGCAAAACTTTCAGAGAATATCGTACGTGTCAAATTCATGAAATGTCACACACTGGTGAGAAGCCCTATGTGTGTAAGCAATGTGGGAAAGCTTTCGTGACATACTATAGATGTCAAAGACATGAAAGAATCCACAGTGGGGAGAAACCTTATGCATGTCAGCAATGTGGCAAAGCTTTCTTTACGCGTGGCCAGTGTCAGACGCATGAACGGACTCATACTGAAGCAAGCCCTTGTGCATGTGGGCAGTGTGGCACAGCTTTCAGTGAACATGCTTGCCAGAGGCATAAAGAGGCACACACTGAGAACAAACCCTTTGTGTGTAAGCATTGTGGCAAAGCGTTCAGTGGAAAGTATAGTTGGCAAATTCATGAACGGTTGCACACTGGAGAGAAACCCTATGTGTGTAACTATTGTGGAAAAGCCTTTGTCACGCGCACAGTTTGTAAAAGACATGAAAGGACTCACACTGGGGAGAAACCCTACACATGTGGGCAATGTGGGAAAGCTTTCTGCAGCAAAGTAGGATGGCAAGTACATGAAAGGATGCATACTGGGGAGAAACCCTTTGCGTGTAAGTACTGTGGCAAAGCTTTCGGTTTACATCGTACTTGTCAAATTCACGAACAGGCCCACACTGGGGAGAAACCCTATGCATGCAAGCAATGTGGGAAAGCTTTCAGTAGAAAAGACAGTAGGCAAATTCATGAACGGACTCACACTGGAGAAAGACCCTATGTATGTGCTCAGTGTGGGAAAGCTTTCAGCAGCAAAGTAGGTTGGCAAGGACATGCAAGGACTCACACTGGGGAGAAGCCCTACATGTGTGTGCAATGTGGGAAAGCTTTCAGCAGCAAAGTGGGATGGCAAGGACATGCAAGGACTCACACTGGGGAAAAGCCCTACGCATGTAGGCAGTGTGGGAAAGCTTTGAGCAGCAAACTAGGTTGGCAAAGACATGAAAGGACTCACACTGGTGAGAAACCCTACACATGTGCACAATGTGGGAAAGCTTTCAGGAGCAAACTAGGTTGGCAAGGACATGAAAGGAATCACTTTGCGGGGAAGCCCTATACATGTTAGCAGTGTGGACAAGCTTTCCTAACACAGTTGTGAAAGACATGAAAGAATTCACACTGTCAAGAAACTGCATGTAAGCAGTGTAGACAAGCTTTCTTCACACATTGTGCTTGTCAAAGGTGTGAAGGGGCTGAACTCATAGCTCAGCAGACTGAAGCACCAGCTTAGCCAGAGCGCAGCGGCCGGGGTTCAATCCCCAGCGGGCAGTGCCGGCCCTTGCCATGCTGACACAGCCACTGAGACTGGGCATGGTGGCATCCACCTGGGATTGCAGCACTTGGGAAGCTGAAAACAGGAGAGTCGCTGTGAGTCCCATCTGTGTAGTGAGACACTGTAGACCCTGTATGCCCAATCATAAGTACAGGGGAAAGAAGTGTTAAGGGACTGACAGGGAGAAATTCCAGGTACATACACAGCTTAAAGCTTTCTGTGCAAGTGATTGCTGATGAATCCCAGAATGGAAGCACAGTGGGAAAAACAACTAAGCATTGTGAAAAAGCTTTTATTAAAAGTGGTGGTTGGCAGATTCATGAGTGGACTCCCTGGGGAGAAATCCTGTGCATGTAAGCAATGTGGCAAAGCTTTCTTCACACATGGTACCTGTCAGAGGCATGTAGAGACTCACAAAGGTTCAACCTTTTCTGTAAGCAATGTGGGAAAACTAGATCAACATGTAAATTACATGAAATAAGTCAAACTGAGCAGAACCCCTGTGTAAGCAATGTGGGAGAGCTTTCCATCAAGATGGTAATTGCTGACTGAAGAAAAGACATAACGGAGAGAAACCCTGTGTACATAACCAGGGTGTGCAAGCAATGACAGGAATTATAACATATGTACAGCCTCATACAGAGGAATCCACAGTAAGTACATGATGGAAGGTGCCCAGGTTACACAGATGGTATCAATGACGTGTAGACTCAAGATTGGAGAGAAGTGACGTGCACAGCAGCAGTGTGGAATAGCGTTTAGCACACACAGGCAGATTGTCAAGATCACGAAAGGGCTCGCACTCCAGCAGAAGTCCTGTGTGGGGAAGCAGTGTGGGAGATTTCCCGCACACATGGTGGTTGTCAGAGACATGAAGAAGTAGCGCTGTGGATTAACCTGTGTGTGGAAGCCATGTGGGAAAACGTGGTTCGTGTCGTCATTGTCAGAGACGGGAAGGAACACACTGTTGAAATGCCATTCAAATGGAAGTAATGGATGAGAGCATTCAGTACACGGGGCCTTCCCAGCACATGAAATGAATTGCGCTCGGGAGCAATTGACGGAACAGTACGGAAAAGGTTCTCTGTGGTGAGCATTATGCAGACTGAGAAGGGAGAGTTCTGCACCGTCAGGCTGAGTGCGCGAGTGGGAAGCCTGGGCCCAGCGAGTTGGCTCAGCAGACCAAAGCGCCTGGGTAGGCAGGTTCAGGCAAGCGCAGCAACCCTGGTTGGATCCCAAGCACCACATGCCGCGCCAGTTCCACCCTCAGGAAGGACAGAGCCAGCCAGTCCCAGTGGAGTGAGGTACACCTGTAATCCCAGCGCCGGGGAGGCTCAAAACCGGAGGATCACTATGAGTCTCAGCTGCGTAGTGAGACCCTGTAACAACCAAATACATTTTTTAAAAAATCCTAAATTTCATAAGGATTGGACCCCTCCGTGCCTGTGGAACATGGGGTCACCCCCCGTCTCCAGGCCACAGGAATAAGAAATGACTTCTCTGAAGCACAGTCTCTGTCACCTTGCCCTATACCCAGCAGCCAACGCCTTTGGAGCCAGCAGATTGGCCCCCAGGGACCCTGCTTCCCTCCCAAGGGAAGCACCCAGAGCACTGGCCCCGGTCCTCAGGCGGCGTGCAGGTCACCTGTGTTGGAGGTGACGCTTGGGAAAGGCTGGCTTCAATGTGACAGAATAGCTGTCTACCCAGTGTGCTGCATGGCAGTCCCTAGAATTAAGATGAAGGCTTTGCATGCCCAGTAGGCGCTGGGGTTGTGAAGGTGAATGGGTGGCCCCATTTATTTTTACTGATTGAAACCTTTTTGTTCAGCATAGTCTCTGAAAGAACAGTTACCTGCTGTGAAGACTCCACAAAGGGAAATGTGTTTTTCAAAGGAAGTGAATGAAAACACGTCTGTGTGCTTTCAAAGGTTACAAGGAAAAGCTTGAGGGCCTGTCAGATGACAGTGTAATGAATCTGTTCTTGGCCAAGAACCGCAGCTGGCCCTGTGGCCCACTGCAAGGCCCCTGCCTCCTTAGTGGTGCTGGGAACTCAACACATCCTGCAGTGAACCTCACCTTTGCTTTAGGGCCAGACTGACCAAGGGGATTCTTTTTACCCTACAGTACCTATTCTGGCTCATTTATTTATTTATTTATATTTATTTATTTCATTTATTTATTTTTATTTTTTTGTGGTACTGGGGATTGAACTCAGGACCATACACTTTCCAGGCAGGTGCTTATTCTACTGAGCTATGTCCCCGGTCCCTGTTCTGGCTTATTTATGGTGAACAGACGTACTACAGAAGTGGAATATAAAACTATTAGTACCGATTTGAAAAGTCAAAAAATAATGATTACATTTGGCGTATGGCTTTGTCCCTTGTCAGCAGGGCATGCCCATTCAGTTACACGAATAAGTCACAGAGCAGCGACAGCAGGGACACTCCGAGCCCCCTGTCAGTGCCCAGGTGCTCATTACTGTCACGCCAAAGACGGCAGGTAAAGGGGGATTGTCACAGGACTTCATGGTAAAGGGGGATTGTCACAGGACATCCATGAACTGTTGCCTGGCCCATAGGGGGCGCTAGACCCGCGCCATTCCAGTCCGCCGCGGCTCTAGTTTCAACGACTTGGGTTCCAGCTGCTTCCTCAATCTGAGGCTCTGCAGATGAGTGTTGCCCGCCGCTGCCTCGGGAGCGGTCGCTGCGTGTCCCGGGCGGGAGGAAGCGGGAGCGACGGGCCTGGCGCACGGGCTCTAAGGGAGGACGCGGGCCACTATGCTCGGTCTGTCGTGCTGGCGCCTGTCCCCAGCTGTGTAGAGAACGCCGCAGCCTGGACCCACAGGGAGAGGGCTCCTGGTGGCACTGACAGCAGGCAAGAGAAGATGTGTGTACTCATGCTAGGAGGGTATTCAGGGCTCACTCGGGGTACCAGCTGCCTCCCCAGCCCACCTGCCAAGCAGCCCATAGGCGGGAACTGGGGCTCAGACAAACGCAGGACGTACTGTCTGCCTGCTGGCTTCTGGGCTCCCTGTGGCCTTCCTTTGTATCCCTGTGTGCCATTTTTGGTATGAAACTGTGTCATTGAATGTTGGGAGTGCTTAGCTCGATTTGCGCAGGGGCTGGCGCTGGGCTTTGCCTCGGGTCCCAGAGACATCGCGCTGGGATTTTCAGCAGCGCTGAGCCTGTCGGCTCTGTGGCAGCTCTTGCAGATGGAGCAACGCCTTTCGTGTAAAGACTGCTCGTGAGTCTCTGGGAGGTGATGGGAGTGGGTTGTGCTTATGCCTGGGTGTCCTGGGAGGCTCCCGCTGTCTGGGGACGGCCAGCTGTTCCGAGGATGTCGAATGTATACGGTTGGTGATCGATTCAGGGTCCAGTGTGGGAAT